GTTTGAGGTTGCTGTGAGCTAGGCTGATGCCACAGCAATGTAGCCCAGGCAATACAGTGAGACCCTGTCTCAAAAACAAAATTAATAATGATCAGATAAGACATGCAGACTGAAAATGTTTCTATTCTTGTATTGCATATGTGTAATTATGCCAATAAAATAAATTTTAAAATTAAACAAATATTATATTACAACAAAGAAAAATAATGGTTAATATTTTGAAGTTATGTTAATGTAATTTTTACCTACTTCATTTCAATAATGAGATAATACTATAATTCTTAATTTTGAGCCTTCACTTCTGCAAATGTCAATGATTTTTGTAAAAATTTGCATATTCATGTTAAATAGACAAAATAGCCAGATTTGTTCACCTGTCTTCATTCACAGTTCATTAAATAATGATTTTTATTAATTTTAACTTTGAAAAGTTTCTTTCACACAAAGCAATAGATAAATCATTAGGAAAAGTCTTAAAGATAAGTTTGACAGAGAGTCATAAAAATCCCATTTCACAATAAATTCCAGAAATTACACCATTCTTCCCATCTTTGTTTCTTCAGGATTGATCTCAGTGGATTTTAAATGTCTCTGCAGTTGAAACATTTCTACTAAAATATTTTCACCAGAAAATTCATCATAAATTTCTATTATATTTTTCAAAATCTCTGGAGGTTTTCGTCTTCTACAAAAATTTGAGAAAATGATTGAATAGTGAACTCTGACATGATTTAATCTGCTGCTATAGAGTAAGTGTCTAGCACTTGGTGAACATGATCAAGGTGTTCAAGCATCACCCTTTTGGTTTCTTGACAATGTAAGACCAGCACCACTGATCATTCCCCCTGGTACTTTTCTTCAAAATTTGATTTTCTTTTCCATGGAATTATCTATTTCCTTATTTTTTTTGTAGTTGTTGCATTGTTCATGGCCTTCTCCACAATTTCTGTGCACCAATCTTCAAGGAACAATTGTAAAGCTTGGTGCTTCAGAGTACGTTGCTGAAGGACAATTCTAACTGAAAATATTTTTGTGGTTTTGTTTTTTTTTTTAATATCAGACAAGAAAAATTGCCTCCAGCCATCATGGTTTATTCTGAATCTCCTGTTTAAGCACGAGAATGTGTGGGACCACAGGGGTTTGATACACAAACCATATCGGACATGAGTGAGAATTATCGAGAACCATTATAAATGGAAAGAGGCATATCAATAAGGGAAGATTGAAAATATGATCGTACATCTGAACCATAGAATTCCACACAGCCACTGATAAATTAGATGTGTACTGGTTGACTGAGAAAGACTTCCACTAATGTTTTATTAAGTGAGAAAAGAAAGAGGGCTAAAAGTGTTTATCAACAACAACAAGGCCCTTATACATGTGAATGTGTGACTTTATATGATTGTGAGACCTGGAGAAAGACTCCCATGAAGAGAAGGAGACATACACTCCTGGTTTAGCAGGGAGAAGGGAGAGGAAGGGCCAAGGTAAGAAAAAATAAGCTATAGATAAAAGAGGATAAAAAAGAGTGCCAAAGGCCGGGCACGGTGGCTCACACCTGTAATCCTAGCACTCTGGGAGGCTGAGGCAGGCGGATTGCTCGAAGTCAGGAAACCAGCCTGATCAAAAGCGAGACCCCGTCTCTACTATAAATAGAAAGAAATTAATTGGCCAACTAATATATACAGAAAAAATTAGGCGGGCATGATGGCGCATGCCTGTAGTCCCAGCTACTTGGCTGAGGCTGAGGCAGTAGGATTGCTTGAGCCCAGGAGTTTGAGGTTGCTGTGAGCTAGGCTGACAGCACGGCACTCACTCTAGCCTGGGCAACAAAGTGAGACTCTGTCTCAAAAAAAAAAAAAAAAGGTGCCATAGTAGAAATCGGCATGTAAGCTATCATTCCACTAATATAAAGTGGTATGTGTGTTTGCATATAGCCACAGAGAGCTATGCAAAGAGAAAGGCCAGCAGACTCCCCAGCACTGTCTGCTAGAACTTTGCACAATGATGGAAATCTTGTACATTTGCACTGTCGAAAACAGTAACTAGGAGGCTATTGAGCTACTGAGCTACTGAGCTCCTGAGCACCTGAAATATAGTTATTGTGACCAAGGAAGTGAATCTTTAACTTTAATTTTAATTAATTTAACTTAAATAGCCAGCATAGCTATAGATAATTATTTTCTATAAGCAGTAGTTATAGTTTATTTGTATTTTCTTTTTTCTACTCCTCTATAGTGTTTAAATGCTTCTATAATTATTCATTATGTAATCAGAAAACAAATTAGGAAGAAGCAATATGTGTAGTGATTATAAGAGCTCAGATTTAGGTCCAGACAACCTGGCTCAAATGCTCGTCTTGTTACTTCATTGCTTACAATTTTGAGAGAATTACTTAACTTCAAGTAACTTTCCTTACTGTGCCTCAGTTTCCTCACCAGTAAAATGGGCATGGTTATAATGCCTATCTCATGAAGTTATTGTGAGGATTAAGTTAGTTTATATATGTAAAGTACTTAGAACAATTCTTAGCACATGGTGAGTATTTGATAAGATTCACAAATATAAATATTATCCATTGTACTTATTAAGGGTCTTAGTTCCAACTAACAGAGGACTCTGGCTAAAGAATTTACTGAATAGATACTGGTGAGCTCACAAAAAGTATTGACCTGTGTGGAGGACCAAGTTCAAAGCCCAGTAAGCAGACCCCAAATGAAATCTCATTACTGGTTCTGGTGAGGAAGCCACTGATGCCAATACATGTTATCTGGGAGCATTTGCTTCCCTTGTATTCCTGAGTAAAACTTCTGCCTAGTGTATCAGATTGACAGCCTAGATCCCGTGTCTGTGCCCTAGCTGCAAGGGAGTCTAGGAAAGCAAGCCCTGTATCTAGCACTTTCAACTTCTCTTGGGAGCACCCCCCAATTAAAAAGGACTTCATCTATTGGGCAGCCAAAAAATGATAAAAAATATATATACTACCAATGCTATTTAAACTAGGGAAAGTCAGGGGAAAGATGAGATTAATGTAAAAATTTTAAGCAGGCCTGGATTCTAGACTCATCAAATGCCTTTAGAGGTAACTGTAGCTCTCTGGACCCTGGTTTTCATATCTGCAAAATCAAAGTGTTGAATGAGATGAGCTCTCTGGATGCTGATGGCTGTGAAATGCCACATTCTCTGATAATGTCTGTAGTTGGCATGACTTGAAACAAAAGATTGAGAAGATCTCATAATTATGCTGAAAAAAATGATTATTTTGTTGGAAGTCAGCTCAAAATTTATATTTGAAAATCAGTGGGGTATACATTTTTTAATAGGTATTTTTAGCCCTATCTTTAAAGTAACTTGACAATATTACACTGTTGGTTATTAGAAGAGTTGAGAGGAGACCTTCAATCTCTAGACCCCAAAACCAGTCCTCTTGTGCTCTCTGAAATGGATCAGCTATTTTTAAAAGGGAGAGAAAGAGGTGCCATGAGGTGAGAAAAAGGACAAGAAAAGGTAGATTATGGGCTGGGTGTGGTGGTTCACTCCTATAATCCCAGCACTCTCGGAGGCTAAGGTGAGAGGATCCCTTGAGGTCAGGAGTTTGACACCAGCCTGAACAGGAGAGAGACTCCATCTCTACAAAAACAGAAAACTTGGCCCAGTGTGTTGGTGTGCGCCTGTGATCCCAACTACCCAGGAGGCTGGGGCAGAAGGATTGCTTGAGCCCAGGAATTTGAGGATTGCAGTGAGCTATGACGACGCTACTGCACTCTACCTGAGGCAATCAAGCAGATTCTGTCTCAATAAAGAAAGAAAAAAGGTAGATTATGCTTCTGTAAAAGACCTTTGGAACTTTATAGCCTTTTTGTTTGTTTGTTTTAGCCACACTCAGAAGTATGGGGGAAAAAAATTTTGGCTGCCTCTCCCATATCTGCCATGAAAGTTACTAGGGTTCTTTTAGGCTTTTCTTCTCAATTACTATAACATATTTTTAGGATTATCCCTATTTCATCTGAAAGCTTTCCTTTAAGTGTACAGCTTGCATGCACGTTTGTTTAAGTTTTGTTGAAATCTCAAGTATGTTAAGTATGATTCCATGACATCTCAATTTCTTTTCCTGTGGGAGATGTACCTCTTATTATAAGCCAAAGTTGGGGCTTTCCAAAGTTTTTCACATCCTGGTAATCATATAAATGGTATTTGTGCAGTATATGAAGTATATGAAGTTTTTTCAGATTCTGAAGTGTCTACGGGACTCCAGGCCTCAGCTGCCCCAATCCTTGCCCAGCTGCCCTGGGAACTGATGGCATCGGCAATACTGCCATCTGCATCCCTTTCAAAGCTCACCAGCATGTGAGTCACTCCTCAGAAAGGGCTGGCCTTAGCCCCTGGGAAACTTGGGTTTGAGAGCAAAGGACTCTTTACACATAACATTACAGGGATGGATCTGCTGAAGCATGCAGTGTATCAAAAGGGTAGATTTTGGCCAGGCACAGTGGGTCACGCCTATAATCCTAGCACTCTGGGAGGCTGAGGTGGGTGAATAGCTCAAGGTCAGGAGTTTGAAACCAGCCTTAGAGACCCGGTCTCTACTAAAAATTGAAAGAAAATTAATTGGCCAACTAAAATACATAGAAAAAATTAGCCGGGCATGGTGGCGCATGCCTGTAGTCCCAGCTACTTGGAAGGCTGAGGCAGGATGATCACTTGAGCCCAGGAGTTTGAGGTTGCTGTGAGCTAGGCTGACACCACTGCACTCTAGCCTGGGCAACAGAGTGAGACTCTGTCTCAAAAAAAAAAAAAAAAAGTTTAGATTTCACAAAAGTGAAGAGAACACTGGAATAGCCCAGTGCCCATCAGCAAGAAGGAATGGGCAAACAAGCTGTGGTATTTCATACCATGGAATTTACTCGTTACTAAAAAGCAAAGAACTACCGATTGCATGCAACCACACGGGTGAGTGTCAAAAGCACACTGAGTGAAAGCCAGCACAAAAAAGAACATACTGTATTACTCCATTTATTGAAGTTGTAGAACATCCAAAACTAATCTGTGGGGGTGGGTGGGGTGGTGGGAGTGGGGATTGACTGGGAAGGTGTGTGAAGGAATCTTCTGGGGTGATGGCAGTGCTCTGCATTTTGATAAGGGTTTGGGTTACACAATGAAGGCATTTGGCACTTAAGATTAGTGCATTCACAGTAGATAAGCTTTATCTGAAAAACAAACAAATAAAACACCATAAACAATTGTTGAACCTCCAGTTGATGATATGCATGCTGAAGTATTTAGGAGTGAAGTATACTGGCATCTGCAACTTTGAATTTCATCAAAAAATATGATGGATGAAGGAATGAAGAGTTGGATACATCTGTGATAGAGCAGGTAAAATGATCATGGTTGAATTGAGGTGGGGTAATTGTTTCAAATTCTCTATATGTTTAAAAATTTTTATAATAAAATATTAGAGAAAACATCAGTAAAATGATGTTAATGTGGGCAATTCATAAAAATTATTTATTCAGGGTAGGGAAGGTCTTGTGTATTTATAGATGATAAAGATTCTAGAGCAGAAAAGGGTCTAAGAGATCTATTTCAGCAAACTCACTTAACCAATGAGGAAACTGAGGTCTAGAAAGATAAGTGACTGGAGTCACACAGCCAGCTGGTGGCAGGTCAGACCTAGCCTGACAGGCTGAGAACTTTCTCAGTTCTATCATTTAGGAAAGGTTTTGGCCCCAAACTTAAGCACTGATATCAAATGTGTTTTAGAAACTTGGAGTTTTATTTCTATCTAATAATATATTTCTGCAAATTATAATCCTTGGGATCTACTCAAGCAATTAGTTCAAAGACGATTTTATAAAGTTTGTAGACACTGGGATTTAAAAAAGAATGAAACAGTACTTTATTTTAAGCAGCTTAATTAAAGTCTTTAGCTAGCTACTTCACCTATTTATTGCTTTATTCTAGAGTGTAATTTTGCAGTGCCCAACTTCTTTGGCAGAGCATAGAGAAATATAGTTATTAATTACTATTATCATAACCACTTCACGAAGCAATAAGTACTCAGACTTTCACCTGTACTTCCTAGGAGCAAAAGTTTCACACCAACATTCCTCCAAGACAAGCAACTTCAGCGCAAAATATTCATATGAATCATCAAGAGCTATTATTAAACCCTTTTCAGAGTTTCTGAGTCATTACCTAAAAGAAGATTTAACTTAGGTTTAATTAGAGGAGAAAATAGAGGGCTAGCATTTAATATTTTTTCTTTCCCTTTAAAGAGTTCTGGTCCTTGACCATGCCTCCTGGTACAGCCCTCACCCTCCCTACCACTTTTCTATGGGAGAAGCAAACTCTTTCTCCCATTGAATCTCTGTACAATGAGCAGTGTGTCTATAAAGAATATGTTCAGTCCTCTCCCTATTTCTGTCACGGTGGTGTGCAAGCATGGGGTGCTGTGCCCCTTCCTCAAAATCTATGATAGAGAGCTATAGAAGCAAATGCAAACATGCATCTTATCAATCTTGCAAATTATCAATAATATCCTCAAAGGGTGAGAACCCCCTGAGCAGACGGAAGGCTGTCTAGAGCAGGTGTGTGGGATGAGCGGCTACAGCCTGGGAAGGCAGCCAGGCAGGCACAGCAGGCAGAGAGGATGGTGGAGGAAGAGCTCTAAATTCTGCTCTTCCATGGGCTGGGTGCGGTGGCTCACGCCTGTAATCCTAGCACTCTGGGAGGCCGAGGCAGGAGGATCGGTCAAGGTCAGGAGTTCAAGACCAGCCTGAGCAAGAGTGAGACCCCGTCTCTACTAAAAAATAGAAAGAAATTAGCTGGCCAACTAAAAATATATAGAAAAAATTAGCCAGGCATGACGGTGGCACATGCCTGTAGTTCCAGCTATTTGGCAGGCTGAGGCAGAAGGATTGCTTGAGCCCAGGAGTTTGAGGTTGCTGTGAGCTAGGCTGACGCCAGGCACTCTAGTCTGGGCAACAGAGTGAGACTCTGTCTCAAATAAATAAATAAATTCTGCTCTTCCCTCTCTACGGCCTGGCTCTGAATGGATCACTACTTGTCCCTTTGCCTTTGAAACTGGCAGCATCAGCACAGGCGGCCAGTGTTGTCAGGGTGCATGGAAAGTACTGCAGAAGCCCTGCAGGGGTGAAAGTTGATGAAAACAGGACTGACCAGCTGATATTTAACTTCCCTTCATTCACCTCTTCCCCCCTCAAACTCCCTGGGAAGACAGATTCTAATCTAGGAGACTACTGCCCACAGGAGTTGCCTGGTGGAGTGGCACCAAAAATAGTAGTTGATCGAATTCTGCAGTGTCGGCAGCATCCAGCTCTGGGGCTTATCCCTGCCTCTGTCCTTTAACCCACCTGGAGGGATTGAGCTTTTCCTTAAAACACATTACCAGACAGGATAGATTAAAACAGGAACATGATTTCCCAGGGCAAAATAACTCTCCACCTAAAGACAACAAATGGACCAACAAATTCAATAAATGATTAAAACTTATGGAACAAGAGCTTAAAATAAATACAATAAATGTAACTTAAAGAGATAAAGTGTATTAACAATACGAAGCAGGAGAAGGAAGTTTCAGATTTATATATACACCTGTGAAAATTTATCACATTGAATACTTTAAATATGTGCAGTTTAGTTTACGTAAATTATACCTCAATGAAGCTGTTAAAAAGAAAACTAAAAACTTACCAACAAAATATAAAGCAAATCTGACAATATCACCCTATTCAACACCCTTCAGTGGTTTCCCAATTTACTTGGGGGTAAAGTCCAGTCTCTGCAACGTGGCTTGGGAAGTGTGCATGACATGCTCAGTCTCACTTCACCCTTCCTGTGCCCGAACTCTCAAATAGGGGCCCCAGAGAGCCTGAATTTCTTCTCAATTCTTGAGTTCACTGCCAAGCATTTGCATCTCCGTGCTCCCCCTCTACACACACACACATACACATTTACCTGCAAAGTTGCTTTAGGCTTCTGCTTAGCTGTCCCTTCCACCCAGCTTTCACTGACCACCTCCCCTCCCCCTATGGCTGGGTCAGGAGCCCTCCTATGTGCACCTGTAGCACTCTCGGCTTCTCGTACCTTATAATGTATCACTCTATCTTGTGAGTGCGTTTACGTCTCTGAAGCCCTTCACTATCCTGTGAGAATTTTTGAGAGGAACGAATGTGTCTGTCTCATGTACGATGGCCCCAGTGCCTTGGACACTGTCTAGAATACAGTATGTTTATTTGGTGATTCAATCAAGAAATCAGTGGGACATAGAGGATTCCAGAGTATATCTTAACATATAAACTTAAAGGAGACCCAGGACAACTATGTAAAAGGGGGAGGGGCAAGGTGGTACAGTGGTCGGAGCCCAAGCATGGCAGGCAGAGTTGGGTTCTTGTATCGGCTTGGTCAGTAGCATGACCATGTGGAAGTTCCCCAGCTTCATTGTGCCCCACAATGGCCGTATCCATTAAATGGAGATAATAACGATACCTACTTCATTTGGCTGTTTTGAGGATTAAATGAAATAATCTGTGTAGCTTTAGGTCCAATGCCTAGTTTGGCCGAATAAACATTAACTTTAACCAAACAAAACAATATGATAGTCCTGAGGAGCAAAAAGAACTAAATAATAATAGAAGCCAATTAAATAAATGTTTCTGGTATTGCCAAAACAGGAAGTCCAGGTTAGGGTCAAGTAGCTGGCTTGCTCAGTGGTAGCTCAAACTAACAGCTTTGCCTGGGAGGTGTTCTGCCCAGGTTTCCTGCAGTGTGTCTTTGATGAGTCTAAGAGTGTTGAGGTTTGAGTTTCATGTTTTAGGGCCTTTTGAGTTTCTTCAAAACCCTGCTGAAGTAATACCTAGAGGTGAGGAGCCTGTAAGAATGTTCCAGCTGGGGAAGGCAGGAAGGAGAGAGACATCACTCTCAGCTTCCAGGTGAGAAGCCCCTTGTTGTGGAGACTGTGCTGTGCTGCCCAGACCCACCGCTCCAGACCGGAGCGATCATTCCCCCAGTTTCCAGGTGTGTTGATGGCCGGCATTCAGCTGAGACCCTATCTGGGAATTGCCATGGCTAGAGAGAGCCACCTCACCCAGAGTCACTCTCTTCCCAGGGGCAGCCTGCATCTACTAATAACAACTGTTGATGTAGGAGTTCAAAGGCCTGGCCCTCTCAGGCCAACAGACGATGACTCTGAGGCCATTCCAGCTCCAGAACTCCCTGTAGGGTTGACCTTTGTTGCAATTGCATAGTACTTCAACATTTCTCCCTGCCTAATATGTGCCTGAGGGCACTTCTCAACAAACTTTGCCTTCAAATCTCAGGCTCAGAAAGAACCTGCTCCCCTGCAAAGTGGACTGATGACACCCATCTCTTGATCCACTGGGCCCCTCGATACCCATGTATCCATGTGCCACTCGGCAAGGAGTCAATGCAGGGATTGGCTACGTTCTCTGAAACCAAAACAATAGGGCAGCAGAGTGTTTTGGATATGAAGTATAAAGGAATATTGCCATCATCCTCAAGAATTTGACATACAGAGTTGTATTTCAGGACAAGTAACATTTTGGGGGGAAGCCTTGAGTTCACTGAATGGTTAAAAGAAAAACAATATCTAGGGGTAAATCTGGAAGATCAAGATTTGGACGATGGAACCATCCAACTAAACACTCCATGAGGGCAAGAATTTTCATCTATTTTGTTCGCTGCTGCACCTCTAGCACCTAAAATAGCGTGTGACATATAAAAGTATTTGATAGATATTTACTGAGTCAATGAATATGGAGGTCAACAGAGGAGAGGTGGATAGGGAAGGAGACAAAGCTAAGAGCAAATTAAAATATAACAACTCAAGTCCTAGAGAGGCAGTGAGACAGTGACACTTGAGCTCAACTCAGGCTTTGCTACTTACCAGTTCTTTGACTGCTGGAAAATCATTTCACCTCTCCAAGCCTCAGTTTTATCATCTATACAATGAGACTCAAATACAGTGACTGCAACTAAATAAAATGATTTAGGTAAAATATCTTGTACATAGTAGACTCAATTCCCTGTTTATAGGTGGGCATATATGGTACTTACATATACATGTGTCAACACACACAAAATCTCATGGGATTCTAGGGGGACAGTGTTTATAACATGCTTTCAGATCCCCAGGAGGAAGAATTATGGTATAAAAGGCTGGTTTGTCAGTTGTAAAAGGCCTGATAACATATTGGCTTTAAAGGTGACACAAATCAATGCAAAAACCATGTTCTGGCCAAGTGGAGCCTATGAAATAAATTTGCAAGGCTGTGCTAGCCAATTAATTTGAGTCCTAACCATATTACTAATTTTATGGTCACTTAAGCAAATAAATGTTTCAGAACACCCTTTGGAGAGCCACCTAATTTGTAAGTGGACTTTTTGTTTAAATTGGCCATTTGAGATACTGCTTTTGAGGCTTGACTATTCAGCTTTGACTCAGAGCAGAGCGGTTATGCCAGACAGAGGACAAGCCATTTGACCCTTTTATCTCTGCCCAAACATTCTAAACACCACCAGCTCTGGACACAAGATTGACTATGTTGTCTATATAGTTACCATGGCATCTAAGCTGCACAATCCATTTGACTTCAGTTTCATTAAATATGGGGTAGAAGTGAGGAGGCTGCCAAGGAGGACGAACGGCTTCACATAAATCCTTTAATTCCAGGGAATTGTTGGAAATCAAGCACAACAATACAAGTTTCATTTTGTGCCTCTTTTACTTTAATTGACAAAATAATCATGCACTTAGTTTTTGAGACAGTGTTCTGCTTCCCAGGGCACCATTATTACTGATTTGGACATTGTGGTTCTCTTCCCTCCTCATTGAATAGCAGCCATGAAATTTGAACTGAATCGACACCCCCACTTCATCCTATTCCTCTTGGCACAGTGACTGCCTTAGGTTGCCCAGGCCCAAGTCCATCAGCTCATAGCCTTCTTATGACCACAGGGATTGGTTCAGGCCTGGCCCAATCAGTGCAAAGCTAAGGACTCTCCCTTGGACACAAATAAGGGGAAGCAGCCTGAGATAGGGCCCTCATCATATATATTAGAGTCCAGTGGGAGAGAGAAACTGCATCATAGAACTTCTGGATCAGATAATCCTGAAACCCACATACCTCTGAGAAACCCATATGTTTCTGACATATAAGCTAAAAAGGTTTAAATTGGATCTTCTGTTACTTACAACTAAAAACTTCATAAACAATACATGTCCATCAGCAAATAGAAATGTGTTTGCATTTCCAAAACTGTATTTGATTTCTTCCTACATTTGGTGACAGGGGTCTCAGCCCACAATCCCATGTAATGGCATGCATAATATAAGTAGGTGGTCTTAACCACTTCCATACGGCGCTGACCAGCTTCAAAACCTTGCCCACAGCTGGCAATCATAGTCCGCACAATAGTTGGTGCTGTGCACTGACGACAAATCTGTTTTGCTCTTGTGTGATGAGGAGAGCTTTAGAGCACTGAAAGCTTGTTTTACTTTACAGGCAGCTTTACTTGTAATGTAAATCAGAATAGGTAACATATACATATATGTTTTCATTACATTATTTTTAAATGTTTACAATTTTATTTTGATAAATGAAAAATTAGAAAAGTCATATCACGGCTGTCAGCTAAAGTCACTGTGCACGTTCATCTGTGGCTATCGACTAAGTCAACGCTGGGTTGTGCGCGTTCATCTGTGGCTATCGACTATAATCGATGCTCATAACGAAGTGGTTTAATTAAGCAGAATGATTTTTCTTCACATCTGAAGTAGAATTTAATTCCTAAATTTTCAACTTGTTTGTACATGAACTGCATTTGAGCTATGTAATTCCGGTCATTCTGACTACTTCCATGAATGGTGATTAAGCAATAAAAGCTCAGAATGTTATGCAGAATCAGAATTAGCTCTGGCCCCCCCCGACTGATCCAAAATCAATGAGGCAATCAGACAGGCAAAACACATAAACACTCATTATCCAATGAATGGGTTAGTAGAAATTAAAGTGAGTGCCAAATATGTTAATACACCAAGAGCTTAAAATAGTGCCTGCCACACTACATACTCCCAAAATGTTAATTGTCATCACCACAGACATTTTAATTTTACTTAGATCCTAGATATCCATATTTATACTTTGGCATTTTATCTGTTGAAGGACTGAAGGAAATGTGTTTTTACTTTTCTCAAATTAATCTGTTAATTTCTCCCTACATTTCCAGTAGATTATGTTATATATAATCTGAAATGGGTGGCAATATGATAATTGTGGATAATCTCTTGATCAATTAAAGAATTCTAGTGCTTTGATACTGAATTTTGATATTAATATCATGATGATTCCTTACTTGTTGACTATAATTCCTGGAATTCTTTCCCATCCATTCACATTCAGGCAGAATCATATTGCTCTGGCATCTCCTGTGAAATACTAAAATTTCAGTCTTACCACTTCCAGAAATCAATCACTACTGACTCATTTTCCCAGCAAAATTAGTACATTTTTGTTTCCTTGTCACTCCTCCATACTATCTTTTACTACAATGATCTAGAATTTGGGACTAGCATATTAATCACACTATTAAGTTTTACATTACACATATTTCCTCTCAATTGGTAGCACTGTTTGACAACCATGATTAACACAATTACATAGCACTGAATTTGTACATAATAGGAGCCATGCTCACAACCAGCCCACATATTTCTTATAATTTTCCTCTTCATCAGTTCTTTACTTTTGATACAGGTGGTGCATTGCTAAAAAAAAAAAATTAGTAAAAACTAAAAAAAATAAACTACATGAATTGTTTTCCAGATATAGTACCTGGGTAATGTCCATGCTTTTTGAATTTCAGTTTGGATTGATACGAAGTTTTCACTATTGTCAGTGACCTAACCCTCCTACCTTGCAAATGTCCTTGACATGAAAAATACTGATTTTTTTTTTTTTTTTTTTCAGTTTTTACCTCCTCCATCACACCCCCAACACAGTGAGCACTGCCAGCCTGTGGTGTGGTATCTTTCAGTTTAAGAAAATTTTCTTTTGGTTCTCTCTAAAATGTTGTTCCTACGACATGTGTTCTGCCTGCTAATATTTCCCTTCTATCAATCAAACACACTCTGGATTTCTGTCGTCTGATCTTTGTATCTACCATGTTTTCTCTGGTGGCTTAGGTTTGTCCTTTTCTTAAGGTTCTAGGGGATTTTCTTAAGCCTGCTCTCCACATCAGAGGTAGCTTTTCCCAGAGTCGATGATGCTCTTTGCTGTTTCTAGTGCAATGTTAAGTCCTCTGACAGAGAGATCCATCTCCCCACATCCTCTCCTTGGTGCTGCCAGCTGTTGCTGCATGTCTGTCTTTTCTTTCTTCTCATTCCAGAGTCCATGCTCTGCTTCAACTCCATGAGCACATATTGCTTCTGCTCCTCAGAACACACCTTCCAGAGAATGCTCTTTATCATTTACATCTGGTGTTCACATCCTCTTCTATTTGGTAGTAATTTTGGAACAGAGCAAATGTGGGTATTTCCTGTTTACTCAAGTTGATTGGAGGCAATTCTGCTCTTTTGCTCACAAACAAGCAGGGGATCCTTCACCTGTTGCTCTTGCCTACATCCACAGCCTGAAATTAGTGCTGGATAACAGGATGGTGTGAATGTTCTAGCTCTGTGTTTGAGACACCTGAAGACGGTGGGAGGTCTGGGACTGTGGGTGAGAACAGTCTGCCTGGGACTTGTTTCTCCAGGAGCTTTTATAACTGCTGAAAACTCTGGCCAGGGGTTGTCATCCTGCATGGAAGGAGGGCATCCTTTGCCACTGCATCAGCTGAGAATGCTCGTGGAGGGTAACATGCCCACAGTGAAGGGATGGGGCAGCTCAGGTTTGCGTCTGTGCATCAGGGTGGGCAGGGCACTGTGGGGAAAAGCCTAGACACACAGACTCAAGTAACAACCTCAGATCACTCGGCTTCAACTTTTATGGAACAAAGTTGGGAGTTGTTTTTCAGTTGCCATGGACCCCCAGGTTGAGGGTCATGTACCTTGAGCATGCCCAGATGAACCCAGAGTGCAATCACAGGTGGAACCTAAGTGCTTGGATCTAAGAGCCAGGAGTGAATTAAGAAGTGGACACTGCATAGCATGATCCAGGCTCCACATGATCCATGATCCACGATCCACATCAAGCCTTGGCATCAACCCATGGCAGGATCCAGTCAGATCACACATTATTATTCTCTCACTATAACACTTGCCCCAACCCCCAGCTTAGGGGGAAGACAGATTTGAGTCCTACTCCTATCTTCTTGTTTAGACCACCTGACAATAAACCTTTCTCCCCACAAACACCTGGCGCTTTAGTGTTTGCCTGTCCATTGGGCATGTGCAAACAAAGCCAAGTTGGCTCAGACACATTCCCTCTCTCTGGGAGCCGCTGGGTGAGGAACTTCCTTTAGGTGTTGCGTGTCCTTCAGTACGTCCCTTTGCTGTTGCTCTGTGAGTGTACAAGGTACCTTGAGTTTTCCTCTCTGCCCATCTGGCCTTTGTGGTACTGCCTCCACCCTTGGAGGGAGCCCAAACTGCCATGTTTGGCCAAGTTAGAAAGGAAGTGGGGGACCAGGGAAAAGGCCACGTGGTTTATCTTTGTAGGGTCTGGGACCTTAAGTCCATGGGGGAGTTTCCCTTTTCCTCTGACCTACCTATACTCCTCTACCTCAGAATTCAGAGTGTTCAGTATACACCACCCAGCTCCAGCACTTTTGCACTTTTCAGAAGGGTGGAAGGTCCAGCGTCTTTTCTTTGCCTCAAATTCTGACACAATCCAACATTTGCATACAGTCTAAAAGTTTTTCCCTCTATTTTGCCCTTTGTCTCCTGTTCATTTTTCTGTTTGAGGTAGAGGGTTTCAAAAATGTTTCTGTGTAATATACTGAATATCACAGAAAACCTCCCTTCCCCCCTCTCTTCCTTGCCCCCTGTTGGTTTCACTGGGCCCAAGTAAGTGGGGAAGGAGGCACTCCGTCCTCAAATGTTCCAGACGAAAAGCTGCAGCTTTGGCAGAAACTGGGGGACTGAGGAGTACTTGGCTCAGGACAGTGTGAAGTCTGAAAGTGTTTACTCTGAACCAGCAGTGGCACACTTTAGGGAAAAGCGCAACATTGAAAATTGGGAACATTCTCTCGATTATGCCAAAAGAGAGAAATATGTGTATGGGGAGAGGTAGTCAGGGCCACTCACATTCCATTCAACAAATGTGCTAAGAAACAGGAAGCAAACATGGCATCCTATACTTAAATAGTGCTGGGTGCATCTCTCCAAGCCTACCCCAAGTGCTGCCTCACTTGACCCTCACCACAGGAATCACAGTTCATCAACCAGATAAGGAAAAGGAGGTCAAGTACTTGGCTTGGCTGAAATTCATCACACCACTTCATTGGGGGACAAAGACTTAAAGGAGTTTCCAACTTCTTTCCATCCCAGATGATTGGACTTAACAAGGCCAAGGAAAGTTTAAGTGGCCATCCTCCCTGGTTTTACTCAAACTCCATAAGGTCAGAGGAGGAAAAATGCAGAGTCTGAGCTTCTATCACCTCCCACCTGCCTGCCTGGGCACTGTAAGTACTAGGTAGGAGAAATTAACTCAAACCCGAACCCTGCAACAATGAAAACTTGGAAGCTGCCTCACTGAGAAGTAATCTGAAGACCTGGAGGGTATATTTGTGGGATGACACAGGAAAGACATGGGCTCCTTCGCAACATCCATTTTCAGAATATTAAAAAAAAAAAAAAAAAAAAAAAGGAATTTAATATGGTAAGCACGGCTGGCCCAGATGACATCCCAGGATGAGTTCTGGGTCCTGATTTGCCTAGTACCGGACCCTGAGGTAAGGGTATGTCAGTGGTGCAGTCAGGGGTGAGCTGCCCTGATCTCTCAGCCTCAGGGTCCTGCCTCCCTTCAGCAATGGCAGAGGACCTGGATGAAGCTGGCACAGGCTGGGCCCCTGGAGCCACTCCAATGTCCACTATCACCCACCTGCCTACCCTGAGAGTTTATTCTAGATAATGTTTGACAAAGGGGCCAGGGTTAGGTTAGGAGAAAAGGGCAGAGTAATCAGCCCCTCTAGGATCTATGCAATCTCCACAGCTACTCTTCCACCATCCAATCTCATTCTTCAAAGGCCAAGAACGGCCAGTGGGTGCACATAGCTCTGCGTTGACCTTCTAGACCACCACACACCCTCCCTTCTTCAAAATCCCCTCTCCTGGGAGGTGCTGTCCTGTCATGGGCATTTTCTCCTCTTGGCAGCTGCCACTGGTCACCATTAGTCACTCCTCTTGATCACCAAGGATGCTGGCTCCTCGGTCCCACTACTTCCCAACATCTCTGGGTTTCTTCTTTCATCACCCACCTGGATGGTCTTCCTGACCTCTGGCCTCACTATGCCTAGATTCCATCATTTTATGTCTAACCGCCGAGCTCATGCCCAGCCTCTGCCTCTACCTGAGATTGCTCCACCTCTTAATTTGCAAGCCACTCCTCTCTGGCTAAAATACACCTTCCCACCCAACTCTTCACCATGTTGGAGTTTCTACCCCATCAAGATCTTTCCAGTGTCACCTCCTGTCTTCTTTTCCTATCTGAGCCTCATTAAACCTTAGAGTATACATCGTGTCACTACAATTTCTCCTGTGCATGTCATCTTAACTCCCTGGCAACTGTCTCCCTTTTCTATACTGCTCAGACAAAACCCAGATATGCAATGAGTCTCTCCACCCAACTGCTAAACCCTGATGAGGGGAAGGCAGGTGAGTATACAACCCCCTCAAATGCACACACACCACTGAGTATCCACTACCCTAAACTGACCATGTCATAGCTCAGCTTTGCCCTGCCATTCTGCTGTTTCCCTTAATCAACTTGCTTTTCCATACCAATGTGAATGTTTACTTCATATACAGCTGATGTGCTCACTTCATTTCACCAAGAAGACATTCAAACTTCATTACCATCCCACCATTCATTTAAACCATCCTAATGCTCTATACTTGTCCCATCCTTTCTTTTCTGGAGCCCATTATGCTGCAGGACTATCTCTCTTCCTCATAGATGTCCCATCACTCCTTTCTCATAAACTGTGCCATCAAGAATTCCTTTCCCCACCTCCTCCCAGCTCTTTCCACTCGCCATCTGGACTGTTACCATCAACATCCACGTGCTCTACCCTCCCACCTCAAACACACCCTTGACCCCACAGCCCTCTCTAGTTGTCACTCTACACCACTTTACAGCCAACTTCTCACGATGCCCACTGCCACACTTTCCATTTGCTCAACCCACTCCAGTCTGCCTTGGTACCCACCCCTTCCTCAAATTGCTCCCATCAAGTTCATCAAACCCCTCATGCTTCTAAATCAAGTGGATAGTTCTGGTCTTATTTCACTGAAACTCTCAGCAGCACACTGCATAGTCTACCTTCTTAAACAGCATCCTCTCTCCTGTTGGTCTCCTTCTACATGCCCTCCTTCTCCACCCAAAGCTTAAGGGTAGACTTCAAAGGGGATTGTCCTCAGCCCTCTTCCTTTTTCCTCTCCATGGACCACCTCATCCAGTGCAACAAAGTTTTCAGACTGTCTCTGTGCAGATGACTCACAAATTTATGTCTCAACATGCTCCAATGGTTACCTTGATTCCGTTTTCTTCTAAAGCTTTTTCGCCCACCCCTCAGCCTATCCCTTCATCTACAACTTATACCTTCACACAAAACCTACAAGTCATCTTTTAATCCTCTTTTTTCCTCACCTCCCTCCTCCCACAACAAGTCCATCAGCAGCTCCTGTCACTGTCACCAGCACAGTGTCTCTCAAACACATCCTCTCTGCCCATCTCCACTGCCTCCTCCCCCACCCCAGCCCAGATCATCACCATCGCCCATGTGAGCTACCGTAGCAGCTGCCTATATCTCCTCCTCACTCTCCTAGCCCCTCCAGTCCATGTTCCACACAACACTGGAATTGATTTCCTTGAAACATAGACCAGGCCCCTCACATGGCCTGTAGGGCCCTGTCACACTGGGCTCGCACCTGGCTCTCCAGCTGTATCTCCCCTGGCCTGCCGTAGTCTAATCACACTGGCTTCTTCCCATTTCTAGAACATGCCCCACTAGGTTGAAGTTGGCTATCAATTCTTTGCTAGTCTTCTTCACCACTCCTCATGCCTCCTCAAGAAATGGAGTCTAGTTCCTTACCCTTCAATCTTGGGTGTCCTTAAATGGCTTCCTTGACCACGAGAGTGTGGCAAAAGCACAATTTCTAAGGCCAAATCAAAAACCTTGTACTTTCCACTTGGTCTTCTGGAGTTCTCTGGGAGCCTTGAGTCACCTGGAATCATCTACCAAGATGACCATGTTGGGAAGGCCAAATATGGGAACTCTGGTCCCATTTGAGTTCAGCTTTCCATCCATCCCTACCAAGGGGCCAATCCTGTCACTGGAGCTTTCATGGATACTCCAGATAGCCCCTGTACACAAGTTCAATACCATCTGGCCTCTTCTAGCAATCTGTATCAGAGTCATATAGAATAGAATTACCCAGCTGTGCCCCATGCAAATTTCTCATCCATAAAACCTTGAAATACAATGAAATTTTTCTTGTTGGAAGCACTAAGATTTGGGATGTTTTGCTAAGATTCTGCCCACCTCAGGGCCTTGACACATGCTTCTTTCTGGGATGTTCTTCCCACACTCCTACCAGGCTAGTTCCTTTTCATCCTTCAGCTTAACTATTCCCCATGGAGGGCCCTTTAGTCCACTCATCTAAAAGTTAAAAGTATCAACGTGAGACTGTATCAGTTCCTTGTTTATTTCCTTCTTAACACTTAAATAACAAGTAGGCATCACAATTAAAATGATTAATCTTATCTTCCCTTCCAGAACAGGCACTGGCAAACTATGGCCCAGAGGGTGGCCAACTGCTTTTTTAAATGATGTTTTACTGGAACACAGCCACGCTCATTTGTTTATGAATTGTCTGTGTGCTCTTGATACCACAGTTATTAGTTGCCAAAAAAAACTCATGTGGTCCACAAAGCCTAAAATGTTTACACCCTGGCCCTTTTAAAAAATGTCTGCTCACCCCTGCTCTGGAGTCTTGGAAAGCAAGGCCTATGAGACTCTCTGTATCTTTAATAGTACCTGGCATTTAATAGGTACAAAATAAATATCTGCTGAAAGAAGTGAAGAGCCTCAAGGCCCAGCTATAAGTCTCTTTCTATAATGGAAGGCTCTTTCTGGCACAGCAGGGCTGGGTCAGTTCTCTTCTGATGTCCCCAGAGTCTAAGGGGTCCCAGGATGAAAGTTTTGGAGGAGAGGCACCAGGACTCATAGGTCTTGGGTCCATGCTAAGTCTAAGGAGACCTAGCCACTTCATCACTCCTCCCCAGTTTCAGGGGAAGAAAAGGATTGGGGATTGGCTGAGACCCTCTCCCACCTTTTAGAAGCCAATTGCTTTGGTCAACCCTCAGGCAAGGGTATGACTAGTTTCAGAAAGCAAAGAGGGTCCTCTGCTTCTCTATCCTCCCCACCAAACATAGACTGGGCTAGACCTTAGAGAGCAGCCATAGAAGAATGTGGGAAGAGACCTGCTATTGCTTTGGAAGCTCCTTGCCACCAAGGAGCAGGGTATTGTGACAAATGCTACTTCCTGGACAAACAAGACTTGATGGGGGGAAGATGACAGGCTGTGTGTGCAAACATACAAAGAGGAGGCAGGCTATGAAAATCTGCAAGAGCCCCTGGGAGAAGCTGTGGATTTTTGCCCCTGACGCCCTGAGTTAGAGGGTCCGCTGCTCAAAACATACCATACACACTGATCCTTATTTTAATCTAATATCATCTATCATTTCTTAGGCCAGAAGAGAAAACATTCTCCTTACCCTCCCTCCCTCTTTAGTACCAAGGTCCTTATCTCAGGTTCCATGGGTCCACGGAGGGTTGCCTCTAGTGACGAGCTGGAATCTTAAGGCCTGAGACTGAGCCAGATTCCAACAGTCCCAAATCCTGGAGGGCTTCCAGTAGCTGCTCCCGGGCAGCACCAATAAAGGAATTCTCCAGAAAGGTGGGCAGGCCTCCCACACCATCCCGAAGAGTATACAGTGGTACCCGAACCAGGCCCAGCACCTGTAAAAGGAAGAAGACAGGAGATACTGGGACCACAGGTAGCTCATCCCATTAACTCTATCCTCTCTCCAGCAGATATTTTAGAGCAGATGCCTCATCCTTTAACATCAAGCAGAACCAGGCCTAAGGCTCATACCTCACTAAGTCTAGTGGGTGTGACTCAGTATAGGCAAATGACCAAAGATATGCTATTCAGCTTACTGTTAAACTTTAGTGGTCCCTGCCTCAAGCATGCATACATAGCTCTATAGGACTGGTTGTCAAAACGTGGTATTCAGGTTACCTGTATCAGCATTATTTTCAAACGTTTGAAAAATGCAAATTTCCAGTTTTCACCCTCTTCCCCAAATGGTTTTGGTAGTATCGGTAGCTACTGTTATAAAAATCACCCCCAGATGATTCTGATACTTGTCAAAATTTGAGAACTACCTTCACACAAAATCTGTTTCCCTACTGCCCTAGCGTTAAATATTAGGGTCACATCTTCCTAAGAAAACAGAGGCCCAATAATAAGGGAGCAGGGTGGATGCCTGGCCATTAACACATTATCAATAGGGAGAAGTAGAGAGAGTAGGAGGCATATACTCTAGAAAGCTCTCTCTCCAGAGCCCAGGAAAGGGAGGGTGGAGAGAGACCTTGCAGAGAGCCCAAGTTGGCAGTACCATTCAGATTAGAGATGACCAAGATGCAACTAAACGAAGAAAATGAGGAAGAGGTTAAGGTCAGAGCAGCAAAGACCTCCCTCCAGGGATGGTTACCAGAGGGAGGGAAAACGTTGGGGGGAGGGGAAATCAGGTATAGGACAGTGTCCCAGGCTGGCCCCACCTCCAGCCCATGGTCCTTGGCTCTTGTAGCGCCAGTCTCCACTGCCAACAGCTGCTCGAGCGTCAGACGCTTAGCATAGAAGTGGGCCACCACGCGCGGCCCAGACCCTGCGTGCGAGCTGCGGTAGTCAGCGCGTTCCACGCGGAAGGCGGCCACCGCCTCACCCAGCTCCTCGCGCAACTCGCGGTTCAGCCCGTCCTCCAGGCTGCTGTCCTGCGTGTCCACGAAGCCACCGGGGAAACCCAGGCGCCCATCGAAGCGCATCTGCATCTGTGGGAGGAGGAAGCGGGTATTGGCAGGGACGCCCCGGAGGAGTGTCACAGGGAGGGTGCAGGAGAGGGGGGAGTGACCGGCAGTGCCCCTCCTCACCAGTACGGCGTAGCGCAGTGGGATGCGGCCGAAGAGCATCCCAGGGTCTGGAGCGTAGAGAAGAGCGTGACACGCATGCCGCCAGCCAGGCCCCAGCGCCAGGGCCTCGGCCAGCTCCAGCTTGCGGGCCCCGGCCATGGCCGGACGCTGCCCTGTGCTGTCCCGTTGGCCACGTGGGTAGGCGGGCCGGTCTCACCGCGGACCAATCCGGGCCCGAGACGGCCCGCAAGGGCCAATCCCAGAAGGGCTCAGGGGCTGAACCCAGGCGCGTTGGGGCGGAGCGACGAGACTGGGACCAGCGGCAGCCAATCGGGGCGGGGCTTGCAGACCAGGCAACTGTCTCAGGTCCGGGAACCCTAGGGAAACCGAAAGCAGCCTCTGGGTTGGGCCTCTCGCGGGGCGGGGCTGCAAGTGTGGTCCCCGCCTTGAACCCGGAGCTAGGCGGGTAAATACGCGCCTGCGTCGCAGTCTGGAGCCGGTGGGCGGGTCCCTGGTAGTGCAGAGAGCTGGGAGGCTCTTAAGTTTGTGTAGCCTGAGCAGGATTTAATTACAGGAGTGTCCTGGGAGCCTCAGGAGCAATACAGCATCTGGCGAACTAACTACCTTTGGTCTGGACTGGGTGGTACAGGAAGCCTAGGTTTGGACTAGGGAGGAAATGAGGCAGGGTTGGCTTCAGAGACCAAGGGTACCCTAGCGACATGGGGATGGGGAGGCACGATGGTGTAAGGAGGCTCTTGAATGGTGGATTCGAGGGGCCTGGGGGACTGAGGTAGTGCGGGGCTGGGGGCAGCGCTGGGCTAGCATTAGTTCAGATACTCTGGCCCAGGTGAAAATGGTGTCGCTTTCCTAGATGGGGATGAAGGAGGGGACTGGGCATTGACAGTGTAGTTCTAGTCAGGAAATGGGGTGGCCTTAGACACTGGACAGCTGCTTGTGTGGGTCAGACGCACACAAAGTGGCACATGGAGAAGTCACAGGGTCAGTGAGATTTTCTGGAGGAGGGTGGGTGTGGGTGGAACCCTGTGGCGCCGGAAGGGGAGTGAGGAGGAGCGGGAGTAGAGGAAGCCCCCTTGGCTTTCCACACTTTACCTTTGAGCTTGAAGGAGGGTGGGGGACAGCTGCATTACCCTACCACAGGGCAGGGGCTATTCAGGGCCTGATGGTGAGGAACAGGGATTCAGGACACTCCAGGCCAGGTGTTCCCCACCCTGCAGATTGCCTCCACGCCAGGAATCAATATTATATATGAGAAAGCAAGAGGCAGCTTCTGGACGGCCTGGGTATAAAGGCACAGCCTGTGAGTGACAACACATGATGGCAAAAAGACCAGAACCCACTCAGACACAAGCTTGTGTCCTTAACAACCTGCTTAACTTTCTCAGGTCGTGATTGCTCATCTGTTAGAGGTGATATAGACCTATTTTGGATGTGGAGTGATGGAGGCACTTAGAGCAGTGCCAGGCACAAAGTACATGTAGCCATTCTTGGAGTCCAGGGTGGGACACACCTCTGTCTTATATTAAAGACCCAAGGGTTTGAACTGAGCCACACTCTTGAGGCCTCAGTACTCCAAGGGCATAATATTCCTATATGGCATAATCTTTCCTAGCTTAGTCTTCTGAGTTTCAGGGCAGAGATGCCATCTACTATCATCAGGTACCTGGATCAAGATGATGAGGCTGTAGGTGTGACACAATTGCCATTAACCTGCTAGAGTTCTAGGGACCTTGGAAATTGCCCTGGTTTGACATTAGGGTCACCTTCCACAAAACTTATGAAAACTTTACAAAAACTCCCTATTCCAGGGTCCAAGCCCAGTCCAATAGAATCGGAATGTCTGGAGATGGTTTGGGGACATATGTAGTTTTAAAAATGTGTTTCAGGTGACTATTAAACAACCAGAGTGGAGATTCAGTGCCTTCCTCCTCCCCTAGCATTCCAATGGTGACTTGGTTTCTCTCTTAGATGGGCTACCTTTAAGGATTTAGAGTCAAACATGCCCTTTTTAGAGCTTCAAGCTGTTCTTTCTTTCCTGGTTGCTTGAGGAGGCTTTTAAAGATGGACTCAGCTTTCTAAGGCGACATGAAAAACTACAAAACCAAGGCAACGTCTGTACAGGAATTAATTATTAATACTTTTGAGACCAGTGCTTTTTCTGGATGAATGAATATGAAAGTCCTCCAGACCCGCCCCACACCTTGCTATCTCTTTCAAATTGTCTTGGCCTCTGCCCCACCTCCCCATCCCCACCAACCATCCCCCATTCCATTCTCCTTGTGCCTCTAGAGCTGCTTCAAGTTCACAACAGTACCCAGAAACAAAATAACTCAGTGGTCATCCTTGGAGGATGCTCTGGAACAAATTCATTATTTTAAAATTAATGAGGAAAAGAATTAAGCATTTATCCTGTGTTTTTTATATGGGCTCTTCCTTAGTGTTACAAAATAGTTGATGAGAGGAAATTTCTCTTGTAGAAGTATTCCAGCTAATCAATGAAGAAAGAGCCAATCAAAATTCTACCTTTTTTTTTTATTTTAGCGTATTATGGGGGTACAAGTGTTAAGGTTACATATATTTTTTTAAACTTTAAAGAATTCTTGGATCCCAGAGAATGATCATCAATTCCTGCTGACATCATGAAAAGACAGTTGTTATATATGTCATGACTAAAGAAGACACCATCTCTTATGAATTTTTCTTACCAAAATATTGAGCTGTATTCTTGCTCTCACTGATAAATAACAAGATCAACAAAATTCATCTTATTTACTGATACATAAAACAATTTGTAAGAAATACAAAGGAATAACTTTTTAAAATAGCAGGAAGAGATTAGAATGATCCAGTAGTAATGGATTAGAATTTGAAACATCAGTATGAATTTATATTTGGCTTCATATAGATAGAGATGGCTACATATACAAATATGGGTATACATGTGTATATACAAGGATTAGCATACACATCTATATTTGCTTTTCTGTCACCTGAGTAGGCCTAGATACAATTATACTACAGGAACAACAAACACACCTAGTATCCAGATCTTGGTTTCTAGCATTATTTTCCATAAAAGAAATCAAAGATCCTTGGACAAATGGTTCATTCCAGAATTACGGCAGGAATATACATGATGAATACACAGTATGCCTGAAGCATCTTGTGATGCTAGAAATTAAGGAATTTCGGCAAATAAAAAGGAAAAAAAACCTGTATAGATAGGAGTATGTCAAAGGAACAAGGGCGCAGGAGCCAACTGAAAAAGCTCCTAATGGCCAAAGCTGAAAAAATTTGAGCAACCAAATACAGTAGTGTTGGATTTTAACCCAAAGTATAAAATAACTATCTACAGGTCCCTCTTGACTTAAGTATTAATAAATTAAGCATTAATAAATACTTAATTAGAAAATAAATGGGGAAGGAGAGAAAAAAGTCCCATGCAGAAAAATTGGAAATAATTTATGTAGCTTCTCTGTCTCAAGGAGCTGCACCACAACTCCCTACTCCTTAAGTGTGGGTTGTGAATAGTGACTTCAATCCAAAGAGTACAGTATGGAAATGGGAGAGGAAAGGAGTAACTTTGTGGAGAAACTTGACAGACACTACCTTGTTCAGGTGATCAAGGTCAACATCAACACTGATAAGTCACGTTGGTAGAATATACCCTTAATATGATGTAATGAAAATGGTACTTTTGTCTGTGGTCTTCCTCCCAAAAGGACATAACCCTTGTCTAATTCTGAGAAAAGCATCAAACACATCCCGGTGGAGGAACATTCTACAAAATATCTGACCAGTAAGCCTTAAAATTGTAAGTCATTGTCTCAGTCCATTAGGGCTGCTGGAACAAAATACCATACATAGACTGGGTGGCTTATAAACAACAAAAATTTATTTCTCACAGTTCTGGAGTCTGGGAAATCCAATATCAAAGTGCTGGCAGATTTGGTGTCTGGTTAGGGCCCACTTCATGTTCATGGTAGACCTTGTTGCTGAAACCTCACAGATGAGAAGGGCTGAGGGGGCCCCCTGGGGTCTCTTTCATAAGGTCACTAATCCCATTCATGAGGGCTCTGCCCTTAATACCCAATCACCCCCCAAAGACCCCACCTCCAAATGCCAATGCATTTCGCATTTCAGGCTAGGATTTCAACATATGAATGGGGGGGGGGAATCAAAAATATTCATTCTCTAGCTTTGTAAAATACAATGAAGTTCTGAGGAACTCTCACAACCAAGATGAGCTTAAGCAGCTATGACATGACTAAATGGAATGTGGTCTCCTGGAGCAGAAACAGGACATTAGAGAAAAACTAAGGAAACCTGAATAAAGTACGGACTTTGATGAATGATAATGTGTCAATATTGGTCCATTATTGTAAGAAATATTCTCTAACAATGTAAGATGTTATTCGTAGGTTAAACTAGGAGGAGTATTTGGGACCTGTCTGTACTATTGTCCCAAATTTTCTGTAAATGTAAAACTTCTGAAAAACAGTTTATTTATTTATTTATGTTTTTGAGACAGAGTCTCCCTTTGTTGCCCAGGCTAGAGTGAGTGCTGTGGCGTCAGCCTAGCTCACAGCAATCTCAAACTCCTGGGCTCAAGCGATCCTTCTGCCTCAGCCTCCCGAGTAGCTGGGACTACAGGCATGTGCCACCATGTCCGGCTAATTTTTTCTATATATATTAGTTGGCCAATTAATTTCTTTCTATTTATAGTAGAGACAGGGTCTCACTCTTGCTCAGGCTGGTTTCGAACTCCTTACCTTGAGTGATCCACCCGCCTGGGCCTCCCAGAGTGCTAGGATTATAGGCATGAGCCATGGCACCTGGCCTATTTTTTTTAAATCAAGAGAATACCATTAGTAAAATATAAACTGAAGAGAAATTTACAAGACAAGTGATGTGGTTTCTTTAATAAATAAATTACAAGGGAAAAGGAGACATGGAGACAGAAACTACATATTAAAAAGATTGAGGCTGGGCGTGGTGGCTCATGCCTGTAATCTGAGCACTTTGGGAAGGAAAGTGGGAGGCTAGCTTGCGGCTAGGAGTTTCAGACCAGCCTGTTCAAGACAGAGAGTCCTGTCTCTATAAAACATTAGCTAGCTGGGCATGGTGACATGAGGTTGTAGTCATAGCTACTTGTGAGGCTGAGGCAGGA